CGGGAGGGCCTTTACCTTTTACCTTTTACAAGTATGTATATTATATTATATTTTCAAGTATGTATCTATATTAGCATATAGTATGACATTAGGTATATTACAATTCATTTGATATTTTGTCTCTTAATGAACTTTTAATAATCAGTAATAGTAATAGAGCCTAGGGTTCAAAAGTGGGAGAGAAAATGGTATAAGTTCTGAGGTTAATGTAATTTGGATAAGGTATCATGAAACAATATAAAGAACCTTTCCATTGCCTCTTAACAAGCATCTTTTTTTCCTATACTCCAGTTTTCTGAGATGTTTACATATATGAGTATGTAAGCATATGTGTGAATTTTTAATCTAGAAATTTGTTATGAAACTTTAGCACCAATTAATTTTTGTTAGATTGATAGTATTTTTTGGTGACATTTAGTCAGTTCTTTCTATGATATTTACAATGAGATTTATAGTTCCAGAGTGGAGATTGTAGAGCTATTTGGGAGATGGTACTCAAGGAAATATTATGAATCAGGCATTTTAATTCTGGTACTGACTTGTCTCTTTTATTTGTTGGGTTTTTATTTCTTTTGTTTTCAGTTTTGTGAGGACAAGAATTGAACCTACTCACTCACTCACATATTTAAGGCAGGCACTGCAGGTCTCAATAGCTCCACTCTAACTCGCCTTTTTCGAAGCATTTTATTCCTTCCTTTTCTCTCTCTCTCAAACTGTAAACAATAAACACACTAGCTCTTAAGATATGTTAATACATAGTCATTTGTTTAAATTATATTATATACGAAGTTTGCATATCTCTGGAAGAAAGCCGCTAGACACATATTTTATTTTTTATTTATTTATTGTCCTTCGCCAACTATAAGACCAAGATGACTGCCCTCCGACGTCCTGATGGATCCATCACATCCTCCAGAACGGCAATGGAGAAGATTATCCATGACTTCTACTCAAATCTCTTCGATAGCCATGTCCACTTGCCGACATACCAAATTCCACAGGATGGGTATGTCGTTCCCAACGTTCTCCCTTCCGAAATCCGACACGCCATTTCGTCAGTAAAGAAGCAAACAGCACCCGGCCCAGACAAGGTCAGACCTGAACACCTGAAGAACCTGCCGTCAGTACTCATCAATACACTGGCTCGGCTCTTCACTCGCTACCTGTCTGAATGCAAGGTTCCATCTCAATGGAAAACCAGCAGGACCGTACTACTGTTCAAGAAGGGAGACATCCATGACATTGGCAACTATCGCCCGATCTGCCTATTGTCTGTCATCTACAAGTTGTTCACTCGAGTCATCCTGAATAGGATTGGCAGAACACTAGATGAAGGACAACCATGTGAGCAAGCAGGGTTCCGCAAAGGATTCAGCACCATCGACCATATCCACACGATAACCAAACTCATTGAGGTTTCTCGGGAGTTCAAGATGCCGCTCTGCTTAACGTTCATTGATTTAAAGAAGGCCTTTGATTCTGTTGAGACGGAAGCGGTCATTGAAGCCCTAGCCAATCAGGGCATTCAAGCCCAATACATCAGGATCCTCCGTGAGCTGTATTGCGGATTCACTACCAGGATCTCACCATTCTACAAAGAAGTGATCGTTGATGTCAAGAGAGGGGTGCGGCAGGGTGATACCATTTCACCGAAACTCTTCAGTGCCACCCTCGAGAACATCATGCGACGACTGGAATGGGAAGGAATGGGAGTGAAGATAGATGGTCGGCAACTACACCACCTCCGCTTTGCTGATGACATTGTTTTAATAACACCAAACATCAGCCAAGCGGCACAAATGCTGGCCGACTTTGACCGTGAGTGTGGAAAGGTAGGACTACAGCTGAATCTTACGAAGACAATGTTTATGAGAAACAGCCTTGTTCCTGACGCCCCATTCGCTCTCAATGGAACGACCATCTCCGAATGCAACAGCTATGTGTACCTAGGTCGAGAGGTCAACATGACAAATGACCTGGCACCCGAGCTGCGCAGGAGGAAGAGAGCGGCTTGGAACGCCTTCAAGAACGTCGAAGAAATAGCTAAGAGGATGAAGAACCTCCGGCTCCGGGCACATCTCTTTGATTCCACTGTTCTTCCTGCATTAACATATGCCTCAGAGACCTGGGCCCTACGCAAACAAGATGAGAACGCCATTCAGGTCTCCCAAAGAAGAATAGAAAGAGCTATGCTTGGAATATCACGTTTCACTCAAATGAGAGAACGAATCCGGAGTTCTGACATCCGTCGACGATCAAGGATCAGGGACGCTGTCTCATTTGCCAAGGTGTCGAAAATCAGATGGGCTGGTCACGTAATGAGATTTAAAGACGACCGTTGGACTAGAGCTGTTACTGATTGGATTCCACGGGATGTCAAGAGACCGCGTGGCCGCCCACCTACCAGATGGTCAGACTTCTTTGTCAAGGTCATGAACGATCGGTTTGAGGCCCTCCATGTTCCCGGAGCGAAGAGATGCCATTGGGCTACACTAGCACGCGACAGGGACAAATGGAGAAGTTACTGGCGCCCGCTCGAGCAAATCGACGACTAACGGGAAGTTAAGTGATTAAGTGATTAAGTGATTTATTTTTTTGGGTGGGGATCATGCCCGGCGATGCTCAGGGGTTACTACTGGCTGATGCACTCAGGAATTACTCCTGGCGGTGCTCGGGGGACCATATGGGATGCTGGGAATCAAACCCGTGTCGGCCATGTTGGCAGCATGCAAGGCAAACGCCTTACCTGCTGTGCTATCGCTCCAGTCCCCTAGACACATATTTTATATCTGAAAGTGAGAATACTTTATGGCTTGGAATGCTATTAGTCAATTGTCTCACTCATCAAATGCCCATACAAAAAAATGTCCATACAAAAAAACTATTATAATTATTTTTTATTCTATAGCACTGTCCTCCTGTTGTTCATCGATTTGCTTGAGCAGGCACCAGTAATGTCTCCATTGTGAGACTTGTTGTTACTGTTTTTGGCATATCGAATACGTCACGGGTAGCTTGCCAGGCTTTGCATATGGGCAGGATACTCTTGGTAGCTTGCCGGCTCTCTGAGAGGGGCAGAGGAATTGAACCAGGATCTGCCCTTGTCGACCGCATGTAAGACAAATGCCCTACGCACTGTGCTATTGCTCTAGCCTATTTTTATTCAAATATATTTAAATATGTCTGAGCCACTAGGGCCAGTGTAATGCATAGGTGAAAATGGACAGTTATGAATGGAATAATGAGGCAGCACAAAAACACCTGCCTGGCTTGAAATATTTCCTCTCTGGCTGTCTTTCTGATAAAACAACATCTTCAAAATTATCTGTAAAAATCAATGTATTAGCAAGTAATAGACAAGATCACTTTTTATTACGTGCATCATCCATATCTATTAATCTTTCAGCACTCAGAAGGATCATGAGGGGACTGGGATGTAGAGACATTTTTCAAAGGCTGATGATGATATGATATGAAATAATGAGAGGTTTTGTGTGTGTGTGTGTGTGTGTGTGTGTGTGTGTGTGTGTGTGTGTGTGTTGGAGTGGGTGTGGAGGAACTCCAGGGAGCAGGAGGACAGCCAGAGGGTGGAAGGCACCTGTGGGAGGAAGCTCAGAAAGTGCTTCTGGGGCTTTTGCCAAAGATACACTTGCTTTCAGCCTAAGGCTGGATGCAGAAGCCACAAATGAGGAAGTAAGGTAGTCTTTTATTTTTCAGATTAAGTCAAATTTTGCATATAAATTCTCTTGAGGAATTTTGTTCTCTGAAAAAAGAAAGACATGAGATGACTATGCAAGTACACTGGTATGAGGCAAAAATTTCTGCACTTCTCTGTTATATAAGCCATGTAGTTGGGAAACTCTAGCTCATCTACTAAATAAGTATGAAAATGATAATAATCATGGTTTTAATTATAATCATAAAGTTCTGTATAAAATGCAAATTCTTTTCACTATGATTCCAGGAATTTAATAAAAATGAAGACCTTTTTCTTTTAACTACCCCTGATATTGACCCACTTTACAAAGGAATCAAAATCCAAATATTGCATTATTTAATCAGATTTCATTGCATTTGAAATGAATTCAGATGAAGTAAAATAATGCATTAGGTTATTTGACAAAACTTTATTTTAGTCTTTTTCCATTTCTAACCCATCTCTAAACTTTACCCCTTTTATTTAACTTTCTTTATTAAGCACATGCTATTTTAGTTACATATAAAATAATTTTGACAACTTTAAAAAAAAGTCATCAATGCTTGTTTTCATAATTGCATGTACATATTTATCAACCAATGTGAATAGAGAAAGGATCAAGGGCTTTAGAAAAAAATATCTGCAGTATAAATTCAGTTTTTATTTAACTTCACATCATTAGACATATTTTATATAATTTTGTTTCTTTTCTTTTTAAAAAATTAATTTTTCTTTAATGATATTTGACTTTTCATAACTAACCACTAAAAAGTAAATAAATACCTTTGAGACTAAAACAAAACAAAGAAACAATCTGTATACAGGCTTTTTAATCATATTATACCAGAGTCTTAATTTAAAGAGCTATCTTATAGCTGGTAGTTGAATACCTCTTAGCTAATTTCTCTAAAACTAAAAGTTCTTAATTTTTTTTGTCAGGATATAGTGTTTTTAAAAAACATTTGAGGCACCATGAAAATAGGATATTTACCATATGAAGATACTTTGGAATTTGTTCTAACCGTTTAATTGTCTGGCATCTTCAATTACTTAAAACAATTTTGGCTTTTTGATCTGAGTAGAAATATTATGCGGACAGGGGGGAAATGAGCTGTTAGTCAGAAGGACACTTATGTAAGAACTGCAATATTGGTCATTGGTTTGAAAGCTGGAAGTCCTACATTTTAGACTCAAGGCTTTAGGGAATCTTTATTGAGCATTTCCCCTCCACAGACCTGAGACAAATGGCTGATGAGTAAAATCTTGAGAATGCTTACAGCTTTTCTCCTTCATCCCGTTGCAGCCCAGAAGACGGTGAGATTCATCCAGAAATCTGTCGGCTTTATATACAGTTGCAGTGCTGCTTAGAAATGTACACGACAGAGATGCTAAAATCCATATGTCTGCTGGGGTCTCTTCAGTTTCATCGAAAAGGTAACTACAGTTAATGTAGTGCCATGGACACTGGAGAATGTTGAACAGAAGCTCATCTTTTGCAATGTGTCTGTGTGCACTATAAGTCTATCTGCACAAAATTATAGTGAATGAAAATGTTCTGGAAATGTTCGATATAAATTAATGCAGATATATTTACAATTCTAAGTGCATAAGAAACACCAAACCTCTTAAGAAGAAATTGTAGTAGCCTCTCAAACTGATTATTTTTCACTTGCAAACATGATTTTGCTTTGAATCAATGTAAGTAGCAAAAATATGTAATGACCTAAGTAGCAAATACTATCCCAAATTGCTACTATTCCCTAAAGGAATTAGGTGGCAAAAAAATTACATATTGTATTCCAAATAATTAAAAATGATGGTAACTCAACAGACATTGGGGAGTCATACTGATAATATAAAATTTTATTCCTCTATTTAAATTTAAAAGCGGCTATTTTTGCTCAAATGACTGAAGCCTGCAGAAATAAGAGTGACTTTAGCATCGTTCGATTAGACTTCTGACATACTCTGAGTGAAGCTTTGTCTTCTCTGTGTTGACTCTACCCTCAAGCTTCCTTCCCTCAAATTAGCAAATTGATTCCAGCAATTCCTCTTATCATATCTGCATGTTACAGGTCCCATAAAGAGAAAGAACTCTTGGTCAGAGACAAAATTCAAAGGGAATGGCACTTGCCTTGAATGTGGCTGACCCTGGTCCAATCCTTGGCATCACATATGGGTCCCCAAACAACCCCTAGGCATGGAGCCTGGAGTAAGCCCTTAGCACCACTGGGTGTGGCCCAATCCCTTCTCCCCAAAATAGAGAGAAAAAGATTCCCCTTTATAGATTACCAAGTTTCCTGAGATTTATAATGATTGGGCCAAATAAGAACATGGTCTACACTTGAACCAATATCTGTAGATAGGTGTGCTATTATATTGATCAGTTTAGGTAATCCAAGTTCATTACTGGAGCTAGAGGAGAGTTCAATTCCACATAACCAGTGGTTATTATAGAAAGGAAAAGGTGGACTAGATGGATCCCATAAAGGAAACTAAATTTTCTTTACTATGTCTTCTTTACTCATGGATTGAATATTAGCTTATTAGAAACATATGTAATATGTGTATTAACTATAAACATAAATGTGAATATTTTGTTCTTGACTCAGATTAGAGGAATGCATAAACTGTAATGAATGCCTGTTTTTATTTTTTTTATTTTTTAAATTTTTTAATGAAACACCGTGTAATACAATTACAGACTTATACACTTTCGTGACTATGTTTCAGTCATACAATGGTCGAGTACCCATCCCTCCACAGTGCCCATTCTCCACCACCAATGTTCCCAATATCCCTCCTGTCAACCCACCCATCCCCCCTTCCTTCCTCTGTGAATGCTTGTGTTTTAAATTCAGAGATAAAAATGGTAAATTCTATCTAAGAAATGTAATACTCAAGGACAAATATTATAGAAAAGGTATGACTTGAGCTGGGTTGGAAAGATAAGGTTCAGATAAGACAAGACCTTTGAGTTAAAGTAGGCTTTGAACTGAAGTGAACTGCAATTTGGTGACATAAATGACATAATAAATACAAATTTTGTATAAACACTTATACATGCACACAAAATTTGCTATATTGTTCCAGAGAACATTTTCTCAGTACATATATCATTTATAGGTCTCTATCTTTACTCTATTCATTAAAACAACTAAATATGGTTGAAGAAATCAGTTCTTTTAATGCCAGATGAGAAAATTGAATCTACCCTTGCTACAATTGCATGTTACCACTGACAGCCACTTTGTTGCTGATGTCTTTATGACTAGCCACTTTCACTCCCACCATTTCTGCTTCAACTCCTCCCTTCTTTACCTTTTCATATGATCTACTTCTACTTTTTTTTTTTCCACAACTGACTTCTGTGGCGGATGAGGGTAGGGTTGAAACCTTCAGGATTAAATCCCTGTGGTGTTTGGGGAACCATGCACTGCCTATTGAACAGGCTCCTGACACCTGTCCTATCTCCAAAATTGCCTTTTAAAAGAAAACTCTTATCTGCCAGTTGTTTAAAAGGAAAAGAGATTTCTTCATCCAGATTTTTTCCTTATTATCTTTGGTTTTAAGCACAGAAACAAACATATTGCCTCTTTATCAGCTCGTTTGTTCTTCACAGCCATTGTCTTTATTGACAGTCTCTAGTCTGCTTCCTTCCCTGCCTCTTCTATATTGAAATAGACCCTATTCCGGAGCGGGAGTGATAGTACAGTGGATAGGGAGCTTGTCTTGCTTGCAGCTGACCCAATTCAACACCAGGCACCCCATATGGTCAAACCCACCAGGAGCAATCTCTAAGCAGAAAGCCAGGTGTAAGTTCTGAACACTGCCAGGTGTGGCCCCCACAACAATAAATAAATAAATAAATAAATAAATAAATAAATAAAAAAAACAGGTGACCATCTTCTTTACACCTAACCTTCTATGTGCAACTCTCAACAGTATATACTTGATAGCATGAATGAGAAATCCCCCTGCAGGATTAAGGTCCTGCTTGGATTTTCATTGTATTCTTCTAAAGTCTTTATTAAAATACTGTAGCACTGTCCTCCCGTTGTTCATCGATTTGCTCGAGCAGGCCCAGTAACGTCTCCACTGTGAGACTTGTTACTGTGTTTGGCATGTCGAATACCTCCCGGGTAGCTTGCCAGGTTTTGCCATGCGGGCAAGATACTCTTAGTACCTTGCCTGACTCTCCAAAAGGGGCGGAGGAATCAAACCTGGGTCGCCCGGGGTCGGCCGCGTGCAAGGCAAACGCCCTACCGCTGTGCTATACAATCCTTAGGAAAACTGCTTCAAAGTTATGCAGGATTCTGGGTTTATAGGCAGACTCCTGAATCTTGTTCCAGAACCCCTGATTCTGAATCTCGGAGGGCACTTCAGGTGATTCAGAAATAGAATGAAGATTAGGAAGGTTGCTCTACCCTTTGAAAAGAGAGCTAATCACTACACTGTATGAATAACAATTCACCTTTCAAGCCCTGGCTTTGCTACTTGCTTTCCACTTCATTGTTCGCTTCCTTCTTTATCCACCAAGCTGATGAATTCAAATCAGATGTGGTAGAACCAGCTAACAAGCATGGTCTATGCTATGGTTCACATAGGATGCTTTTTCTAAGAACCTTTGATATGACTGTTGCAATAAAACAATTATTCTTATAATACAGTCTCTAAACTGGCAATATCAGTCTCTTTGGTTAGATATGTGAGTTTTAGGACTCATCCCAGAAATCAGAAGCAGCTGAATCAGAAATAGCTCTTAGAGCTAATAATTTTTTTTCTGGAAAAAATTAAAAGAACAATGTATTAGAACATTTCCTTAATTGAATATATTAGTAATCTTGTAATTATCATAGATATTTCCTTACTCTTGAAGTGGACTTCTAGCAAATCTCTTGTATTTCCAGAATGCACACGCGAAAGCTAATTTTTGTATGTTTGTACCTGTAGGCGTAAGGCGTTGAGAGTAAGGAGACTTCCTTATTTATGAGAAATGTTTAAATTCACCAAGAAAATAGTAATGTTGGGTTTAAAAAAGCAAACTCCAATGAAATCAGAAATAAGTTACTAGTAATCATCATCAAGAAAAATGTCATTAAACCAGATAAAATAAACACTAGAGGCTGAAAAGATACCATAGTGGTAAAGGAACTTGTCTTTTACTTGGCCAATCCTGGTTCCCTCTCTGTCACCACATATGGTTCCCAGGAGTGATCCCTGAACACTGTAGGATGTGGCTCCAAATGGCCCCTCCCCAAATTAAAAAATTAGGTACTATAAAGCAAGCACAAAAATACACATTTGACAGACTTTCTTAAAATTCCTGCAGTACCAAATAAAATACTATTAGGAAAGGAATGGATTCCTCAGAGAAATCATTTAAATTTTTTTCAGCCTCTATTCTTTTACTATACCTCATTTTAGATTCTTTTTTCTTTTTATTAATTTCTCTGACTTACTCTCAATTCTTTGTTAATCCTAAAACTATTGATTTGCATCCAGTTTATTCATACTATTTGCTAATTTACATTTGTACCGTTAAACTAATGAGAAATATCATAAATATCATCTATGTCATTTTGTCATTGCTTTATTTTATATCATTAGAAACTGATATATATATATATTCATCTATATATGAACATATACATTCCAATCTACAGTGCATAAAATATGTTGCTAATGATCTGAGAGACCCTGATTGAAAAAATATATATATACTTGTCTCCAATGACTGTAAACTGTCAGAAATGAGTCAAGGAAAAAATATGTCTATAGACCATAGCACAAGAGTGTTAAACTTTAAAGGGAAAGTTTGGATAAATTAGTAGCTGTAATATCTGTCTTGCTCTTGAAGCATAGAATCCTTACTCATAAAAGTACACAAAGAGGACTCAGCAAGCCTGAGCAAACTTACTACAATATTGAAATGGAAGTCAAACAATGCTTAGACTTTAGGAAATGAAAAATGGACAAGGGGTGAGGAGGAGAACCCTACTAATGTGACTGTGAGATTTAGTCAAGATACGTGATTAAGGAAAAACAAGTAAGACTCTAAATGAACAGTGGAGTAGACACTAAAGTTAAGTGATTCTAAATTTCAGACAAGGTGGGGAGGTTGGTAGCTAGGATAAGTGTGGGTCAAGAAATCAGTTTTCTTGGAGGCTGGAGAGATAGCACAGTAAAGCACTTGTCTTACACATGCCTGACCTAGGTTCAATCCCCAGCACCCCATATGGTCCTTCAAGCCACACCAGGAGTGATCCCTGAGCACAGCTAAGCATAGCCACAAAACAAACAAACCAAAGAAATCAGTTCTCTCTTTCCAGGAGTTAGAGAAGTATACAGAGACCTACTTAATTGTTAATATAGATGCCAGTATACATGTATTTATATATTTAATATCATGTCTGAAAAAACAAAGAAAAATT